GCGCTATATCAGGTGTTTGGCTTTCAGGATTCTCTCTCATGCTGCGTGCACTCCTTCTTGGGGGCATATTTCTAACGCATAAATTTTAATCGAAGTTTTGGTTACTTTCATTATTTACCACTGTATTGCATTATGCACGATATGTTACAATCATCTAATCATGTAACCCAGGTAATATATAATAACCTATAATAATAAAGGCATTTAATCAATAATCAACGAAATTTAACCATCCAAAGACAAAATCCCATAAGATCCACAAATAAAATAAAGACGTGCAACAAACAAGAGAAATTGTTCATAAATCACGGCTACATGCCCCAAAAAAAAATCTTAAGTTTGATCCATCAATAGCTTAATAAATAAAGTCTTCTAGCGCATCAGACTCCAAATAAGTAACCCCATTACTATTGCTAGAACTCCTGCTAACACCGCCAGATAGGTATGCAACCTCCTAATCGCTCTCCTAGCGTTGAAAATCAACTCCAATGAGCGATCCATCATATTGTCTTGAGTGCCTAGGGCTGCAATCACTCCATCAGCAAAGTGTCGATAATGCTCCAACCTACGTTCACACATCTCAAGGTCTTGAGCCATGCTCAAAACCCATAAATTCCCCAAAGTAGTCATACCCGGAGGGCGCTCCGACGTGGTCCTGGTGGTGGGTGGTGGTGTTATACTACGAGTGTGTGACCGAGATGACTCCCTTACGGCTCCGGGAGGGGCGTAGAAAGACACCCTCACAGGCGAAGGAATGCACTTTCGGGGGGTGGCCCGAACTCTAACTCCGTGTGGCGCTATAGAATGCACGGGTATAGAGCGAGGCGGCTCTGGAGTGGGTGATCGCACCAATGATTCGGTAACATCGTTGTCACTATCATAACCGTGCTCTGAAGGATCGTAATCTTTGGAGTTCGAAAACTCATTATCTGATGACATAGTGCTGCGATATTTAAAAAAAAATTTAATTATTGAACGAATCATAATTATTGTCAAAAAAAAATGCAAAATTTATCCAAACTCACAAATGTGAAACATGCTTTTCTTATTGAGTAAGAAGTCCTTAACTTTTAGACAAACACCTAACATAACCGATCCACGTCTCTCCTTATACATGCTTAATTAGACACAGGTGATCAGGTTCTGTCTAATTAGAGTATGCTAAGAAGTCACTCGTTCTAGTTATATTAGTAGTATGTCCGTTTTGAATTTTTGAGACTCTTTTTAAGAAGATTATTTCGTAAAATTTTGGGTTAATGTGTATGGTTTTCTTAGAAAACCGGTGTTCTCTACAACCTATAGCTCTAATACCAAATCTATCACACCCCGCTAAAGCGGAAACACGAGGTATGGCAGGTAGAGTCTCGTAGCAATAGAGTATAAAGAAACACAACCATACATTTAAAATTTAATTACACCATTAACCAAAGTTTACAATTCCAACGACAAGTTTGTAAATTAAACACAAAAAGAAATTTAAAGGTGAGAGTTGTGACACGGCTTCTTTTAAGTGCCACCTTGAGCCTTTCTTACCCCTGAAAAGCACGTCAAAACAAGTGTCAACTACAAGAGTTGGTGAGTT